GTATATGGTAGGCTGTATCTGGTAGGCTGTATTGGTGGGCTGTTCTGGTAGACTATATCTGGTAGGTTTGCCCTTCTGGTAGGCTGTATTGGTTAAGCTGTATCGGGTAGGCTGCATTGGTAGGCTATATCTGGTAGGTGTATCTGGTAGGCTGTATCTGGTAGGCTGTATCTGGTAGGCTGTATATGGTAGGGTGTATCTGGTAGGCTGTAGCTGGTAGGCTGTATCTGGTAGACTATATCTGGTAGGCTGTATCTGGTATTCTGTATCTGGTAGGCTGTAACTGGTAGGCTGTATCTGGTAGACTGTATCTGGAAGGCTGTATCTGGTAGGCTGTATCTGGTAGGCTGTATCTGGTAGGCTGTATCTGGTAGGCTGTATATGGTAGGCTATATCTGGTAGGCTGTATCTGGTAGGCTATATCTGGTAGGTTGCATCTGGTAGGCTATGTCTAGTAGGCTGTATCTGGTAGGCTGTATCTGGTAGGCTGTATCTGGTAGGCTGTATATGGTAGGCTTTTATCTGGTAGGCTGCATCTGGTAGCTGTATCTGGTAGACTATATCTGGTAGGCTGTATCTGGTAGGCTGTATTGGTAGGCGGGTATCTGGTAGGCTGTATCTGGTGGCTGTATCGGGTTTAGACTATATCTGGTAGGCTGTATCTGGTAGGCTGTATCTGGTAGGCTTTATCTGGTAGGTTATATCTGGTAGACTACAACTGGTAGGCTGTATCTGGTAGGCTGTATCTGGTAGGCTGTATCTGGTAGGCTGTATCTGGTAGGCTGTATATGGTAGGCTGTATCTGGTAGGCTGTATCTGGTAGGCTGTATCTGGTAGACTATATCTGGTAGGCTGTATCTGGTAGGCTGTATCTGGTAGGCTTTATCTGGTAGGTTATATCTGGTAGACTACAACTGGTAGGCTGTATCTGGTTGGCTGTATCTGGTAGGCTGTATCAGGTAGGCTGTATCTGGTAGGCTGTATATGGTAGACTGTATCTGGTAGGCTGTATCTGTTAGGCTGTATCTGGCAGGCTGTATCTGGTAGGCTGTATCTGGTAGGCTGTGTCTGGTAGGCTGAATCTGGTAGGATATATCTAGTAGGCTATGTCTGGTAGGCTGTATCTGGTAGGCTGTATCTGGTAGGCTGTATCTGGCAGGCTGTATCTGGTAGACTATATCTGGTAGGCTGTATCTGGTAGGCTGTATCTGGTAGGCTGTATCTGGTAGGCTGTATCTGGTAGGCTGTATCTGGTAGACTATATCTGGTAGCCTGTATCTGGTAGGCTGTATCTGGTAGGCTGTATCTGGTAGGCTGTATCTGGTAGGCTGTATCTGGTAGGCTGTATCTGGTAGGCTATATATGGTAGGCTGTATCTGGTAGTTTATATCTGGTAGGCTATATCTGGTAGGCTGTACCTGGTAGGCTGTATCTGGTAGGATGTACCTGGTAGGCTGTATCTGGTAGGCTGTATCTTGTAGGCTATATCTGGTAGGCTATATCGGGTAGGCTGTATCTGGTAAGCTGTATCTGGTAGGCTGTGTCTGGTAGACTGTATCTGGTAGGCTGTATCTGGTAGGCTGTATCTGGTAGGCTATATCTGGTAGGTTGTATCTGGTAGGCTGTATCTGGTAGACTGTATCTGGTAGGCTGTATATGGTAGGCTGTATCTGGTAGGCTGTATCTGGTAGGCTGTATCTGGTAGGTTGTATCTGGTAGGCTATATCTGGTAGGTTGTATCTGGTAGGCTGTATCTGGTAGGCTGTATCTGGTAGGCTGTATATGGGTGGCTGCATCTGGTAGGCTGTATCTGGTAGGCTGTATCTGGTAGACTATATCTGGTAGGCTGTATCTGGTAGGCTGTATCTGGTAGGCTGTATCTGGTAGGCTGTATCTGGTAGACTGTATCTGGTAGGCTGTATATGGTAGGCTATATCTGGTAGGCTGTATCTGGTAGGCTATATCTGGTAGGTTGTATCTGGTAGGCTATGTCTGGTAGGCTGTATCTGTTAGACTGTATCTGGTAGGCTGTATCTGGTAGGCTGTATCTGGTAGGCTGTATATGGTAGGCTATATCTGGTAGGGTATCTGGTAGGCTATATCGGGTTTAGGTTGTATCTGGTAGGCTATGTCTGGTAGGCTGTATCTGGTAGGCTGTATCTGGTAGGCTGTATCTGGTAGGTTGTATCGGGTTTAGGCTGTGCTGGTGGCTGCATCTGGTAGGCTGCATATGGTAGGTTGTATCTGGTAGGCTGTATCTGGTAGGCTGTTCTGGTAGACTATATCTGGTAGGCTGTATCTGGTAGGCTGTATCTGGTAGGCTGTATCTGGTAGGCTGTATCTGGTAGACTGTATCTGGTAGGCTGTATCTGGTAGGCTGTATCTGGTAGGCTGTATCTGGTAGGCTATATATGGTAGGCTGTATCTGGTAGTTTATATCTGGTAGGCTATATCTGGTAGGCTGTATTGGGTTTAGGCTGTATCTGGTAGGATGTACCTGGTAGGCTGTATCTGGTAGGCTGTATCTGGTAGGCTATATCTGGTAGGCTATATCGGGTAGGCTGTATCTGGTAGGTTGAGTCTGGTAGGCTGTGTCTAGTATGCTGTGTCTGGTAGGCTGTATCTGGTAGGCTATATCTGGTAGGTTGTATCTGGTAGGCTGTATCTGGTAGACTGTATCTGGTAGGCTGTATATGGTAGGCTGTATCTGGTAGGCTGTATCTGGTAGGCTGTATCTGGTAGGTTGTATCTGGTAGGCTATATCTGGTAGGTTGTATCTGGTAGGCTGTATCTGGTAGGCTGTATCTGGTAGGCTGTATATGGGTGGCTGCATCTGGTAGGCTGTATCTGGTAGGCTGTGTCTGGTAGACTATATCTGGTAGGCTGTATCTGGTAGGCTGTATCTGGTAGGCTGTATCTGGTAGGCTGTATCTGGTAGACTGTATCTGGTAGGCTGTATCTGGTAGGCTGTATCTGGTAGGCTGTATCTGGTAGGCTGCATCTGGTAGGCTGTATATGGTAGGCTATATCTGGTAGGCTGTATCTGGTAGGCTATATCTGGTAGGTTGTATCTGGTAGGCTATGTCTGGTAGGCTGTATCTGGTTGGCTGTATCTGGTAGGCTGTATCTGGTAGGTTGTATCTGGTAGGCTGTGTCTGGTAGGCTGCATCTGGTAGGCTGCATATGGTAGGCTGTATCTGGTAGGCTGTATCTGGTAGGCTGTATCTGGTAGACTATATCTGGTAGGCTGTATCTGGTAGGCTGTATCTGGTAGGCTGTATCTGGTAGGCTGTATCTGGTAGACTGTATCTGGTAGGCTGTATCTGGTAGGCTGTATCTGGTAGACTATATCTGGTAGGCTGTATCTGGTAGGCTGTATCTGGTAGGCTTTATCTGGTTGGTTATATCTGGTAGACTACAACTGGTAGGCTGTATCTGGTAGGCTGTATCTGGTAGGCTGTATCTGGTAGGCTGTATATGGTAGGCTGTATCTGGTAGGCTGTATCTGGTAGGCTGTATCTGGTAGGCTGTATCTGGTAGGCTGTATCTGGCAGGCTGTATCTGGAAGGCTGTATCTGGTAGGCTGTGTCTGGTAGGCTGTATATGGTAGGATATATCTAGTAGGCTATGTCTGGTAGGCTGTATCTGGTAGGCTGTATCTGGTAGGCTGTATCTGGTAGGCTGTATCTGGTAGACTATATCTGGTAGGCTGTATATGGTAGGCTGTATCTGGTAGGCTGTATCTGGTAGACTGTATCTGGTAGGCTGTATCTGGTAGGCTGTATCTTGTAGGCTGTATCTGGTAGGCTGTATCTGGTAGGCTGTATCTGGTTGGCTGTATCTGGTAGGCTGTATCTGGTAGACTATATCTGGTAGGCTGTATCTGGTAGGCTGTATCTGGTAGGCTGTATCTGGTAGGCTGTATCTGGTAGACTGTATCTGGTAGGCAGTATCTGGTAGGCTGTATCTGGTAGGTTATATCTGGTAGGCTACAACTGGTAGGCTGTATCTGGTAGGCTCTATCTGGTAGACTATATCTGGTAGGCTGTATCTGGTAGGCTGTATCTGGTAGGCAGTATCTCGTAGGTTATATCTGGTAGGCTACAACTTGTAGGCTGTATCTGGTAGGCTGTATCTGGTAGGCTGTATATGGTAGGCTGTATCTGGTAGGCTGTATCTGGTAGGCTGTATCTGGTAGGCTGTATCTGGTAGGTTATATCAGGTAGGCTACAACTGGTAGGCTGTATCTGGTAGGCTGTATCTGGTAGGCTGTATCTGGTAGGCAGTATCTGGTAGGCTGTATCTGGTAGGTTATATCTGGTAGGCTACAACTGGTAGGCTGTAACTGGTAGGCTGTATCTGGTAGGCTGTATCTGGTAGGCTGTAGCTGGTAGGCTGTATCTGGTAGGCTGTATCTGGTAGGCTGTATCTGGTAGGCTGTATCTGGTAGGCTGTATATGGTAGGCTGTATCTGGTAGGCTGTATCTGGTAGGCTGTATCTGGCAGGCTGTATCTGGCAGGCTGTATCTGGCAGGCTGTATCTGGTAGGCTGTATCTGGTAGGCTGTATCTGGTAGGCTACAACTGATAGGCTGTATCTGGTAGGCTGTATCTGGTAGGCTGTATATGGTAGGCTGTATCTGGTAGGCTGTATCTGGTAGGATATATCTAGTAGGCTATGTCTGGTAGGCTGTTTCTGGTAGGCTGTATCTGGTAGGCTGTATCTGGTAGGCTGTATCTGGTAGGCTGTATCTGGTAGGCTGTATCTGGTAGGCTGTATCTGGTAGGATATATCTAGTAGGCTATGTCTGGTAGGCTGTGTCTGGTAGGCTGTATCTGGTAGGCTGTATCTGGTAGGCTGTATCTGGTAGGCTGTATCTGGTAGGCTGTGTCGTCTTTCAATAATCTGTAACGTTACCAGCAGCTTTTCTAAGTCTTCGTTAATATTATTACAATTAAGACAGCGGACCGGTCATCTAACATTGTTACTTTCCCTTGCAGGTGACCGAGGGAGACCGCAGGACCACTGAACCCGAGTACGAGGAAGTAGGTCCACCGGTCCACCTCAAGAAGGCTCAAGGTAGGCCTACATCTCCACTGTTATAGGTCAGGAGATAGGGTAGGTCTTAGGCCTACAGATCATTTCATCAATGTCATAGGTCAGGAGATAGGGTCTTGCATAGGCCTATTGCCCATGTCACGAGTGTCATAGATCAGGAGATAGGGTCTTAGATAGGCCTACGACCCACGTCAACGGTGTCAGGGTCAATTTAGGCCCTTTTTATTGACATTTTTTTAATTTGTCAAAAAATCAAATCTTAGAAAGAAATTTTGAATATTTTCAAAGTAATTTAGACAATATCAAAGCAAGAATATCCTTAGTATCGAAGGTTAAGTAATCTTCGTTAACCCAGGAGGCTTAGTAAGCCAGGATAACACATGAAAGCCAGGCAGTGTGGCTTATTTCAAGTGTGGTGAGTAGGCCTACCCTACGATGCCACCCACACCAGTCTATTAATTAACTCCCAGGTACCTACTTACTGCTAGGTGAACAGGGACAGCGGGTGTAAGGTAACTAACTCCCAGGTACCTACTTACTGCTAAGTGAACAAGGCCAACATTGTTAGGAGACTTGTATCTGAGTCTTTCCTCGCCCAGGGTTCATCCCGGGCCCTTTAGATTGTGAGCCGAATACGCTATTAATGCCATTCGTAGTGGGGCATGGGGATAGGTGAAGTTGGAGCCATCTATGGGCCAGGAACTTTATCTGCTGAAGTGAATTTATCTTATCGATATCTTCAAGCTGTGTCTTCAAGCTGTGTCTTCAAGCTGGCACTGGACAGCACCTAAAGTCAGTTCCTGATCAGCCGGGCTGTGGCTCGTACGTTAGTTTGCGTGCAGCCAGCAGCAACAGCCTGGTTGATCAGGCTCTGATCCACCAGGAGGCCTGGTCACAGACCGGGCCGCGGGGGCGTTGACCCCCGGAACTTTCTCCATGTAAACTCCAGGTAAACTCCAGGTACTAACATGTTCCAAACTCGAGTCATTCCAGGAAAGATCTCAGGTGAAATTTTGTTCTTTGGATAGGTATAGAGTGTAGTTGCTGTTGGCTGCCCGTCTTGTGGCATAGAAGCTGTGTTCTCACTGTCTGTGGAGTGGAGCCAAGTGTGGTACCTTGACAACATTGGCCTTGTATATAACAGTAAGGTCACCCACATTCCTTCTGTGTTGAAGGCTCTGCTGGAATGACATCTGTCCAGGATGGGTCCAGGCGAGAGATGAGTAGCCTTGCTCTATTCTCTAATCTGTTAAAGAAGTCGTTGAAGACATGGGGAGGGCGGGCAATCCAAGAAAGTGGAGCATACTCAAGGTGTGAACGTACTTGTGCCTCATGCAGAGTCTTGGCAGCCTCTACTGTCGAGCAGATGGGAGATACATTCAAGTTCTGTAAGCTTCCTGGCTGCCTTGTTTGCAAGATTTACAGCATGGTTCTTCATGGTCAGTTTGTAGTCAGATTTCACCCCAAGGATATCCACCTCATCCCAAGGTACCAACACTTTCTCATTCATTTTTTACCATTGCTCCAGCATTACCATCATGGTGCCTAGAGACCATCATCATTTGTGTTGTCTCGGAAGTAAATGTTACCTGCCATTGTTTTCTCCAAGCTGATATAGCTCTTAGCTGGTAATTGATGTAGCTTAGAGCAGCTGGCATTTCCTCTCTTGGATGGGTAAATGTCAGAGTACAGCCACTGCATATGCATGGGATTCTGGGATGAGTTGATGGCTATTGAAGTAGACATTCCATAACAATGGTCCCGGCACACTCCCTGTGGGACTCTGGCACCAATAGAGTGTCTTGTTGACTCTGTTCCATTGAGAACTACTATCAGAGATTACCTTCAAGGTAATCACTGAGAAGACAGATTATAGAGCCTGTAATTCCCAATATTTGCAGTTTTGCCAAGAGTGCCTGGTGCCATACTGGGTCGACAGCACCACCAATGTCCAGTGCTACCACACAGATGACCTTGGATTCATCCAGTGACTGGTGCCACATAGTGGAGAGGTTTAACAGCAGATCACCAGCAGACTGACCTTTTCTGACGCCATATTGACGGTCACGAAGAATCGAGTGGCAGTCGAAAAACACTGTTGTCATCTGTCATGAGATTATTGTCACAAGAATCTTCCCAGTGATTGAACGAGTGACATGGTGTTTATTCTGTTTCCACTCAGAGAAATTGTCATTTACACTCCCTAGGCAGTGCTGATAGATGCTACGCAGTGCTGATAGATACTGGGCAGTGGGTAGTTAAGGCAGTGTTTATAGTGTACCAGTGCTGATAGATACTAGGCAGTGCTGAAGATACGGGCAGTGCTGATGGGTGCTAGGCAGTGCTGATAGATACTAGGCAGTGTGATGGGGGCTAGGCAGTGCGATAGGTGCTGGCAGTGAGTAGGTGTGGGCAGTGTGTAGTGCTAGGCGTGCTGATAGGTGCTAGGCAGTGCTGACAGGTGCTAGGCAGTGCTGATAGATGTAGGCGGGCTGATGATGTGGGCATGCTGATAGATGCTGGGCGGTATGGGTGCTAGGCAGTGCTGATAGAACTAACGTGCTGTAATTGGGCATGTGAAAGATGTGGGCATCTGATAGTTCTAGGCAGTCCCTGATGATGCTATCGAGTGTGGTGGCTAGAGAGTGCTGTAGATATGGTCAGTGCTGTAAAAGAGATAGTGTTTTATGATGTAGGCAGGGATAGATGCAGGCAGGCTATGATGCTAGGCGTGCTGACAGAAGCTGGGCATGCTGATGAACTAAGCGTGCTGATAGAGCATCCAGTGTTGAAAGATGCTAGGCAGTGCTGATGATACTAGGCAGTGCGTAGATGCTATCCAGTGTTAAAAAGATGCTGGCAGTGTGATAGATCAGGAAGTGCTGAAGATGCTAGGCAGTGCTGATAGATGCGGGCAGTGCTGATAGTGCTTGGCAGTGCTGAAAAAATATTTGGCAGTGCGATGATGCTAGGCATGTGATTGAGCAACGTTCTGAAGATACTAGGCAGTGCTGAAGATGTATCGAGTACTGATGATGTAGACGTGCTGATAGATGCGGTCAGTGTGAAGATGCTAGATAGTGTTTATAGTGCTAGGCAGTGCTAAAGATGCTAGGCGGCTGATAGATGCTGGGCGTGCTGATAGTGCTAGGCAGTGCTGATAGATGCTAGCAGTGCGACAGAAGCTGGGCAGTGCTGATAGATACTAGGCGTGCTGATGATCTACCCCATGTGAAGATGTTTCCCAGTGTTGAAAGATGCGGGCAGTGCGATAGATGCTAGGCAGTGCTGATAGATATAGGCAGTGCTGATAGATGGGGGGCGTGCTGATAGATGCTAGGGCTCCCATACCGATCAGAAATCTCGAGGTCACTTTACCCGGGCCCCAAGCCTTGTCTTTGGACCGGGATTTAAAAAAAAACAGTCCTCTCCCTCTCTCTCTTCTTTTCCTCTTCTCTCCTCTCTCTCTCTCTCTCTCTTCT